TCTATTTTTATGACAGCAAAGATAAACCTTTTCCTACATCCAGTTATTGTAGTAGATTCAGAGTAAAATACTAGTTTAGCTCACGGTCAAATTTCAAGTTTTCTGTCTTGGAATAATATATTCAAAACAAGAGGACAGTGTCTAAAACCAGTTAAGTGAAATATATAGAGACAGTACAGTCTGTTTTATATTTCTCAAAAGATCTCTTTTCTCTCCATTCTTTCTTTCAAAATCCAATTTATGAAAAAAAGCAAATTATCAAATCCAATTTCAATCTATTAGATATATAAATTATTGTAACATTGTATATTGTAATTATACATTATATATTGTGACATATATTGTAGTATATTATTCAAACACAATGGCAATGCCAGCAAAATATGCATTTTTATAATAAATACCAAAGATAATAGAAAAAGTGACCATTGAATTCTTGAAAAATAGGAAAATACTTCAGGTTAGAGCCAATTTAAGTAGTGTATTCTTGAAAAGTGGTCTTTTGGAAAATGTTAAGAAATTGGGTTCTAAAAGGGAATTTAATGCCTCACTGTGAACAAGAAAACTTTCAGTTCACAGATGTGTCTGCAGCAAATACAATTCCCTATTCAACAAAAAGTGCATGCCTGAACAGGTGCTGGTTAGCCAAACTTACTACAATTAATTCTAAATCATGTGAATCTTTAATCTACCTTAGATCATTCTCTGGTTCATATATCCTTCAAGACAATATATTGTGAACAATTTTCCTTAGAATTATGCATAAAACACTGAACAGAGCTGAATATTAAGCTACAGTCAAGCTATCTATATATATAAAAGGCTAAAATGCAAACTGTCCCCTTGAGAGTTTGATTGGGAGACCAGGAGTTCGATCGCTAGCTATGACGTGTGCTGACCACCAGGGGGTGGCGCAGAACATGGCGCTGAGGGAATGAGGGAAGGAGGAGGCAGGGAGGCAGGGAGGCGGGGACCTGATTGGCCCTGATCGACAGCCAGGCCTAGGGAACCTTACCTGTGCACGAATTTTGTGCACCAGGCCTCTAGTTCAAAATAAACAAAAACTTTTTTTTTTTTAATTTCAATAGCGGTAGTCACAAATTAATCAATCAAACAACAAATACTGCAATCACTTCACTCTCTATAAAAAGTATCCCTTTTTTCTGTCCTCAAGGATGAGGAAAGTGACTAAGATATATTCTCATATAACTAACAATGGGAGGCAATTCTGTTCATTCACAAAACAAATGTTTATTGCTCAAGCACTCTTTTGGTACTAAGTATTGATGAGCATAATTTTAATCAGTATTTACTAACAACTGAGAACTAGTAGTGTTTACTAAATTTTTTGCACATATTACACATTATTTTTAATAAATCTTCCTCCCTTTCCTCCAGGACCAAGAACCATTATCTCCTTCATCTGTTTATACTCAAAACCAAGTGAAAAGAGGGTGGGAGTAAGGGGGAGAGATCAAGCAAAGGACTTGCATGCATGCATAGAAGCCTAACCAATGGATACAGACACCAGGAAGGTGAGGGCATGGGTGGTGGGGTGTGGGGCAGTGGGGCTATAAGGATATATATTTAATATCTTTTTTTTAAAATATATTTTATTGATTTTTTACAGAGAGTAAGGGAGAGAGATAGAGAGTTAGAAACATCGATGAGAGAGAGACATCGATCAGCTGCCTCCTGCACATCTCCTACTGGGGATGTGCCCGCAGCCCAGGTACATGCCCTTGACCGGAATCGAACCTGGGACCTTTCAGTCCACAGGCCGACGCTCTATCCACTGAGCCAAACCGGTTTCAGCTGTATTTCCTCAAGTTTTAATGCTATATAGCAACTGGAATTGTACACATGAAATAAAACATTTGTCAACATAATTGTCTAAACAAGCTGAGGCCATATTTTTGAAAAATGTAATTCTGAGTGATATATCATGTTTAAACTAAAATGTCTGGCTCATTCTGCTCATCAAATATGTACCTATGGCTACAGAAATCAGACTGATTGTAACTAATAATAGACCACAAACAGGACATGTATATTAATAACCAGACTGTTGACATTTTTATATCTTAAATATAGAACATGGTTTCCTAACTCAAGGAAATGGGAAGGACTGACTTGTCTGAGAAAGCATTTGGCAAATTTGATTGACAGTAATTTTGAGGATAATGCCTGATGTGGAGACTAAAGAGAACAAAGGACAAGAGAAACTGAAGAAATGAACAGAATATTTGTTTTAAGGGCAAGACACACCATGTGGCCATAAATAATTCTCAACTGAAAAGGAGGAAAATAATTAGAAAACAAGAATTGTATAGTATCTCAACTTTAACAATGCCATGCAACAGTGTTAAGCAGAAGTGGAAGTAAAACCAATGTTTATACACCCTTTTTAAAAAGTATAATACATCTCAAATATATCTTTCCTTCAA